ATTTGGGATCAAAATATCTCTTGATACTTCCAAAAGTGGAACAATGGGTTCTATTGTTTTATCTTTTGTCAAAAGATGTCTTTTTGTACTCATTATAGTTTATTTAGAACAATTCAACCCTCTACATCATATTATTGATCTCCAATATGTGTAGGGTCATCCCAATAGTTTACATGATGAATATTATAGAAAAAAAACACTACTCCCATTATTTAGTTCAATAATGTCAAAGATGGGACCGTATGCATTTGTATTCTTCTCTAATCATCCTATCACTTATTTATGACAACAATATTCATATTGCTGGGCTACTAGCCGTGTGGGTCACCCTCGAGTGGTCCTAGAACTCCATTCTTGAATACTTACTACTTTTAGCCGGTTGGGCCCAAAATAACATTTGGGTTGCCCGACCTTCCTTATTTGGTCTAGGAGGGTTATGAATATTTATTTATATTGTATTGGGGTCTTATATCTAATAAGATGGCCCAATAAAGTATTTGGAAACTCATCCTTATGATATGGGCCTAAACGATAGTACGATTAATCATTCATTACATAAAGCCTTACTCGTTTTACACGTAGTTGATAATAGGGAATTCAACTGTATGAATTGTATTTATTTATTTTTTTAAACCGAAATTCCTAGGTACGTTCGGGTGCGGTGTCACATTTTTAATTAAGTTAAGGTTTAGTTGAAAATAGCTACAAAGTATTGGCCTCTTAGTTGAAAAGTGACAAGTGTGGCAAAAGTTAGACCTTCTCACAAAACTCTTGATGCTTTATAAGAGCCTTGTTTTATATTTGAAATTAGACTTGTATCTAGAAAGCAATAGCTAAACTAGGCAATGATTTTATTCCTGGAATTTCAGTCTAGGTTCGTCAGTCTCCATCAAGAAGAATTCCGGTTTGTGAAGACAATGCTCATGAAGATATGGGTGCCTAGTACCAGTAAGTATAGAAACAACCTCATCATAAAAACCAATTTTAAAAACCTCTATTCCTTTGGGGGGGGAATGAAAAATAAGCAAATGGCAAATTTGTTTTGTTAGATTCCATTCAACCAGGACAAGAGCAAGCAAATGGTGCGATTGAAGCAGGGGCAAGTAGGGAGGAAAATTCTGAATCTGATGATGATTAAGTAATGAGTCTCTAATTAAGAATCAATCATAGCCATAGGTGCAGATTCTGGGTTGAGTGAAAGCTTTCTTGCCTTTTGTGAATGCCTTTCTAATGTCTTTTATCTTTTTAGTTTGTCAGAAATCTAGTTTATTTGGCCATGCAAGCTTTCCTTTCACTACAATAAAGGAAGCAATGTGAATATTTGATCTTATTCCTGTGGGTGTCTTTTGGAAATGATCAGGAAGTAGATATTTTGAGCACTGCCCTTTCTTTTAAGCTATTTGGATGTAAACCAGAACTAGTGTAAATTAGGGAAATTTGTTGATTTAGTCCCATAACTAATAGCTATATCCGATATTGGTCCTGTAACTTTATTAACTTGCAATTTACATCCCGTAACTAATAAGTTGGTGCAATTTTGGTCTTTCTCTGCCGGAACTTATCAATTTCGTCGGAAAAAGACACATCACCTGCCACATGGTATATTATTTGGAACTCATTTGCTGACTCAATATTGGCCCTTAGCTGGAGTTAAAAAACCAGAGTACGAAAGCTCTTCGCTAAGTGCGTGCACAACCATACCAAGCCTATTATCGGATCTGCAAAAGGGGGAAGAACATATAACTCTACCTGAAGATTTCTCCTGAACTAAGTCGAGAGAGTGAGTTATTCTTCAAATATGCTAGTAACGGCTCTCGATCAGAGAAAAGTTTATGGAGTGTGATTGTGGTAAAAAGGTTTCTCTTCTAATTTCTTGGACTGATAACGATCCTGGAAGGAGGTTTCATGTGTGCGCTAGAAGCAGAGTAAGAAGTTCAGCTTTTTAATTTACATTGTTTGCTTCTTTTTTTTACTAAATAAACTAGAAATTTAAGAATAACATTTGAATAATAAATTTGTTTGAAAATTAAAATGTACTTCCTCCGTTCCCTTTTAATTGCAACAGTCAACATTTCACGTTTGCCAACACACAAGTTTGACCATTAAAATCTTTCATTCCTTATTAGTAAAAAATTTAAAAAATTCATATTTTGAAAATTTAGAATGAGAAGAATTTAATAATATTTTTAAAAAAATTAATTTATAATACATTAATGAATAAAATATAGTCGAAGTAGAATATGTGAATAGTGCAAAAAGTCCAATGTTGCGATTAAAAGAGAACGGAGGATAGTATTTTATAATTTAAGCTAGGTTCTGCTAATAAAATTACCATCTTCTATTTGTTGGGGGCATTTGATAATGTATTTTTGTGTTCAAAGCAGTAAAAAGTAAGTTAAGCTTCATCTTGTTTTGATACAGACAGAAGGTTGCAGATTTTTTGAATGGGCAGACCCATCTATGTGCCATCGTTGAACGATGATAATTCCGGGATTGGTTAGAAGACTCAATTCAAAAGAGGAAGAGGTTGTAAAGTTGAAGGCTAAAAATAAAAGGCTCCTCATAGTTGTTGTGGGGCTAATGTTTTTGCTCCTGGTCTTTCTCATGTTAAAGATGTGAGAAGTGAAGATGATGTAACATTTCAAATGCTTTATTCTTAAAACATGAATCCAAAAAGCTTTAAACTTCATTCAAAATGCTCCTGCTGCAACCAAGAAGAAATAATTTTTTAACTCTAGCTAAGGGCCAACATTGAGTCAGCAAATGAGTTCCAAATAATATATCATGTGGCAGGTGATGTGTCTTTTCCGGCGAAATTTGTAAGTTCTGGCAGAGAAGGACCAAAATTGCACCAACTTATTAGTTACGGGATGTAATCTGCAAGTTAATAAAGTTACAGGACCAATATCGGGTATAGCTATAAGTTACGAGACTAAATCAACAAATTTCTCTGTAAATTACTCATGGAGAATCCGTAGTACAAGTAGGAGTATTGTCCTTAACAATCAATTATACAAAAAAATGACTACAATAACAAAGAAATGACTACAATAACATGAATCACTTGAAATGAAAAAGTTAATACCGGTATGAGATTTACTAATACATCCTCCAACAAAACTACTTCACATGATAAGTTGAAAGCAAAATGAACTGTGCTATGAATTTTAAAGCTTCCTGGCACTTGAGCAAACTCGAGCAAGATTGTTTCCACAAAAACTCGAGCAAACCCTCTTTGATCTCCACCTCAATAAGATAACACAGAAGCAAATTCTTGATATAGACAAATTAAATTTAAGTGATGCTAGTGACTACTGTATAACCCTGCAACGCCTCCCGCACCGTTGACTTTTCATGTGTAGTTTGAAAAAAAGGATGACGCTTCATCCCCGAGGGCTTCTTAACACCGAGCCAACGGATAATTAATTAAGAAGATGTGAATTAGATTTTAATCACAAACTGGACTAAAAAAGGATGTGTAGTTTTAAAGAGATATATCACGTGGTTGGTAATTGTCATTGAATAGTAGAAGTTGTGACCATTAAATTAGGGGTGAAAATATTAGTTGCTTTAAAAATATAATGCAAACTCAAATCTGAATAAAAATCAATCTAAACTCAAATTTCCTTTTTATATTTATAAATTTCTTCATGTGCTATACAATTGATTATACTTCACATGCCTCAAAGTAATCTGCACATACTTTTATTGATCGATATAATTTCATTTTCTTATATAGTACATTAGTACGCGTATAATTTTGAGTATCAAATTTTGACTCTCTTGTTGTTCAAATATTCAAAACACTTACCCTTTTGACTTATATATAATATGTTTAGGACATTCCCCAACCTGGTAATTTTTTCATTTAAAAATATCTAACTATTCATACTTTCTCTACAGTATCATTTTTTGATTTCACATTTTTATTATTCTTTCCTACTGTTTTACACTTTTTCTTGACTATTCTTAATGTTCTAAGCATTTTGGGAGTTTGGTATTTGAATTTTGTTTTTGTTATGCAAAATTACAATATTCTGCATGCAATATTACTTGGTAACCGAGCTCAACGTAAACGTTGTTTCCTTAAGACATTTTTGCCCGACACACATAGCAAGCGTCTCCTAGAATAGAACGGTTCTTTGCTCCCAACGGGATTCCGGCGAACTCAAAGATGCAATGAAGGAAAAGAGAGAATATGGAGGATTGTGTGATGATTTTCGAATATATTGAAAATGCAGACAATCATGGGTATATATAGAGCTCTGGCTAGGAGAATCTACACCCAAAAGACACCTTTAGAAGGAAAGGTTGTGACCCTCCTAAAAACAAAGAATGTGTCTATTGCCAAACATTATCCAAAATTAATAGCGACTAATAGAATTATCTTTAAGCCATATACTCAGGCGGGCAGTTTAAGACTCTAACCCGACCCGACCAACTTGACGGTGGCGATGGTGTTTGTGTGTGAGATATAATTTCACACTTATCTTCCGAGAAACAATTTCTCATTCATTTCAAAATGGTTTTTTACAAATAATATTAATGACAATAATATTAATTTGTAAAACCATTTTTCTAACAGTTTTTGCATTTCCAAATTTGGTAACATATCTCTTTTTAAATATGCAACTTGAAATAATGACGTAACGGTCAATTGAGGACATCAACTTATATGAGGTGGAGTAAAGATTACCATATATTGCATTTGATCTTTTTAAGTACACAAATTCGGAGTTTTAGTGTTAATTGAGGTCTTGTTGTTGAGAAATGTAGGAACCGCTTAGTAGGAGTACAACTTTTACGAAGGGGGTGTTTGGTAAACGGCGTTTCAGCTGAAAAATGGCAGTTTGACCACTTTTAGCGTTTTCAAAAAGTGAAAAAGTTATTTGGTAAATAGCTGTTCGACACTAGCGTTTTTGGCCACAAACGCCGAAAGGAAAACGCTACTAATAGGAGAGTTTTGGGTTGATGTTTTAAAAAATGGAGTTTTCCCATAATTTTATTGCAAAACAGTTAAATTAACAAACCTAGTCAACCCATTGAATCCAACACACAATTTGAATCGAAATGTTCCTGGTAGTGCACTAGTGTAATCGGACTCTGGAGCTGTTACTGCAGAGTGTTGAGAGGCCAGCTGATTACGTCTGCTAAAATTTTTGGATACATCATTTAAGCTTCAGCAATGCTCAGGAGATTAATACTAACGCTGATCGTGAGCTTGATCGCGGTTACGTGCAGCAGTTTCTCGCCGGACAGTCATACCAGTCCGCGAGTTTTGGTTCTGCTCGACGATTTTGGTATCAAATCGTCCCACTCTCTCTACTTTAAGGCCTTAGAAAATCGGGGATACAATCTCGAATTCAAGCTTGCCAGGGATCCAAAGATCGCCTTGCAAAGATACGGCCAGTATTTATACGAAGCTTTGATTCTCTTCTCCCCTTCCGTTGACCGTGAGTCCGCTCTTTGACTATATATGAATATATCTCGTTCATTAATTTGTTAGATCTGATGATCTCAGAGACTACTTCAACAAATTCCACCTGGATAACTATAAATGCAATGTCGCTGGAAATGTGTGAGCTGTGATAGTCAGTGTTGCCGTGTCTTGATTTCTGTTATTATTAATATTTTTGGTTAGGATTTGGAGGGAATGTTGATGCTGCAGCAATATTGAATTTTGTGGATTCTGGTCGTGATTTGATACTGGCAGCTGATGTTTTTGCATCTGATCTTATCCGTGAAATAGCTACTGAGTGTGGCGTAGATTTTGATGAGGTACTCATTAAAGTCATTATTCTAGCATTTTGCAAGATAGTAGGATACTTAACAATATTTTTTCTTTCTATATTTATGATAATTAGGATTATTACTATTACTATATATACGAAGTATAATAATAATTGTTATTATTATTATTATTATTATTATTATTATTATTATTATTATTATTATTATTATTATTATTATTATTATTATTATTATTATTATTATTATTATTATTATTATTATTATTATTATTATTATTATTATTATTATTATTATTATTATTATTATTATTATTATTATTATTATTATTATTATTATTATTATTATTATTATTATTATTATTATTATTATTATTATTATTATTATTATTATTACAGTGGGTGTTCGGACTATTTTGGTCGACTAATCCCATGCGACCTCAGGTTAGCTCCCATTAGACCTTCAATGGACCTATTGGGCGCTTTAGGACCTGAACTAGTGACCTAAGAGTACATGGAGAAATACCCTCTTCTTGTGATCCTATTACTTTATATTCATGCTTTAGTTCAAACATGATTCAAGGATTTTACTATTTCTAACTATTTTTAATTATAAATAAATGCATAATGATAGGACCCTGCAGCTTCAGTGATTGATCACAAAAGCTATGCAGTTTCTGACACAGATGGGGATCATACGTTGATTGCTGCCTCTAATTTCATTCAATCTGAAGTTATTCTAGGAAGCAAAACAATTGAGGTATGAGCTATTTATTATCTACATTGTCCTCTCATCGACTGTAGGACGATTTTTGTTATTGGGAATATTTTGCAGATTTGTTTTTATGTTTCTCTGAAATTTTTGAATGCTATCTACTGCAGGTGCCAGTACTTTTTCAAGGGATTGCTCATTCTGTAAATCCTCTGAATGGCTTGGTAACCTTTTCCCCCATAAGTGGTTTGTTCAAGAATGCAAATAATAAATATATAAACCATGCATGTTGATGTGTGTGCACCTCAAACAACTATTATGTCTTAATAGTAACAAGCTCACCAACCACCATACATGCAGGTTTTAAAGGTTTTATCAGCATCACCAGCAGCATATTCAGCCAATCCAGGGTCGAAGTTGTCAAACCCACCAACGCTCACTGGTTCTGCAATCTCTCTTGTTTCAGTTGTCCAGGTCTGTTCCTCTTCTTCTGAGTAGCTCTTCTCTGGCTCTTCCTCCACGGTTTCCCTCACAACCCCCCATTGAAAATGAAGTAGGCTGTTTTATTTAAATAGGGAGTTTGAGTTCAACTTAAAGTGCAATGTTAAGAACATTGTTTTACCCTCTTGCTCATTGGAGACATTCTTTCTTTTAGGCTTTTAGGTTATTGTGTTTCGATCTTTTAAAGTATAGGGAAAGGAAAAAAGTGCTGTGAAAAGTTGTTTTATCCGTATATGGGTTTTGCTATGGAAAACACAACCGAAAATGAAATATGATAATTTTTAATTTATCTTGAAAATGGATGTAGATTTTGTTACTGTAGGAAATTTCATTAACATAAATATTTGGTTATTCTATTAGCATTTCAAAACAATAACCAGGCCTTCTCTTCTAATGGCATGATGTTGTACAAACTTGAGAAGTGACAGAAATTTCAATCCGTTTAACTTTGCAGGCTAGAAATAATGCTCGGATTCTGATAGCAGGCTCTTTAAGCATGTTTAGCAATCGGTAAACATCTCATCAATTGTTTTATGCTTCTATATTTATTGATGAAACAGTGTTTGATTGTTATTACATCTTCTGGGTTACAGATTCCTTAGATCTGGGGTTCAGAAAGCTGGAAACCCAACTCGGTAAGTAAGTGAGTTGTTTTCTATGTGAACATTAAGCAACGTCTGGAATAATAGGTTCTTTCAATTAGCTTTTGATAGAGACCTCCAGAAATTCCAGAACAATTACAGAAAATTAACAAGAAATCAACTGAAAGTGATCGATTACAGGAGAAGACACTGGCCGAAGCCCCCAAAGCCGAAGCCCCAAAAGATAGAGATGTTTAGTCTCCGATCTTTCCCAGTCCCAAGACTAATCGTCTAAAAGCCTTCCTTTCTAAACCCCCCTCTTCCAGTCTATTTATACTATACAATACCTCAAGTACCCTTATTACTAATATTCTTATTAATACTTCTATTATTAGTCTAATATAAGAGGGTTCCTATCAATACTCCCCCCTAAACATCCACCTTGCCCTCAAGGTGGTTTATATGACACAACCACAATCTTCTGCTTCCTCTTCCTCTTCCTTGTTCCTCTTCCTTCCCAATATCTAACTGGTTGATGGACTAGGGACTTCAGTACGAGATCTTTTAAAATCACAGAACTTTCAGCAGTAGCAGAGATTTGAAGTGAAGTTTCATTCGGCTCAGTCACTATCCAGCAGTCCCTTTCAGCTTCTCCCTCTTTCAATTCTTTGACTACCTCATTTGAGAAGGGAAACCTTAAAGTTTTTAGCATGTAAGTACTGAGATGCATACTTCCAGCTGCAGTTTTCATAACCAAACAAGGAACAGGAAAGCTCATCTCCCATGTAAAACTTCCAAAGTTGAGTTTCTTGTAGGCAGGCAGATTCTTCACCAGGAAAAGACATGGCCATTTTCAATTCTTGTTCCAATTTCAGCTTTCCTTTGGTTCCAGTATATAGCTCTACAAAATTTCCCACTGACTTCTCCTTTAAGGAATCTGTAATTCTGAGATTTCCTGTTAACAAGCCAACCCATAAGTTGGTAGGGGAGTCAATGATACTTGGACCCTTTCCATTCAGATTCCAAAGAACAAAGGAAACAACTGGGAAATAGTATTGATGATCCCTTGAATTATAATGAGCAGAAAGTCCCCCTACAATCTTGGGTTTCAAAAATGCTAGAAACATAGTGAAAGAGCGCTTCTCAGCAATCAATTTCTGATTAGGCACTGCTGATTCAGCCCCTTTATCAACAATACCAAGTCTTCCTCTGCTCACACCCTCCATCCAATTTAGAGGACCTCCATGTTGAATGATGTCATATGATTCCCAAGAAAAAGGATGAACCTGATCCACAAGAACCACTGGTTTTGCAATACCCAAGTGAGTTAATGGCTTTATCAAACCCATATTTTCTGAGGAATAATCAGCCAAAACCCAGATTGGTAAGACCGACCCCTCTGTTTGTTTCCAGATCATCATCTTCCCAGAGTTTGATCAGATTGGTGTTCTCAACACCAGATTCCAACACATTTAAAGAACCAGAATCATTAAATCTTCGTCGCTGATGCTGGAGGCTGGGAGAATCAAGATAGGATCTAACAATTTCCCTACAAGTTGGTCTTCTAGCCATAGAATAGGGAATTGTCAAAGCGGGATCATCGGACAAGGATAACATTTTCTTCAGTGTGATCATCCAGAATGGTGAATAGAGTTTCTCATAGCTGTGGAAAGCAAACACAATAGCCATATGGAGATATTCCAAACCTACCCTTCCCTTTTGAACAGGTTTACATACTTACTACTGGCATTCCTCTAACATTTTCATTTTCGTTTACTGCATGATTCCCAATAATTTGTACGCTCAGCTCCTTCTGAATACACTTCCTAGAAGTAACAACATTAAATTTGAAACAATCAGTCTTATTCGGCCCTTCCAAACTATGATCTGGTAAACATTGATTTGGTCTAAGTATTTCTGAACCTTCCCTGTTGTTTGATGAAAATCCCATAGGTTGATTTACCTCCTCTTCCGAGTCTGATTCCGTAATTGAAGGGACCACCAGGTTTAATTCTGTGTTCATTCTAGTTGGTGGGTTCTCCTGGAATTCTTTTTCTGATGCACCTATTTCAAAAGTTCTTGAAGCTGATGACCCTTGCGAACGGTGTGGAACCACATGGGATGATGATCTGTGTGCTGACGAGCGGTGAGAGTCCGCAAGTGAAGAAGCATGTGAACTGAAAGAATAGTTCAGGGACAAAGATGAAGATTCTTCTCTCACTCGCGTCTTTCTTGGACATGAACTGATAACCGGTGAAGAAGTATATCGCGATTTAGAACTAGAAACAGTTCGCGACTCCGACAACAAACTGGTGAACGATTGGGACGAACTTTCCTTGTCATAAGGCGGATGATGTCTTTTGTTCCTCGATCGGTCTTGAGATGCCTCTGAGTTAGTCAAATGTTGCGTACATCGATGATGAGAATTGTGATGCGATTGATGAGAATTGTGTTGCGATGTGGTCGATGATGATGAAGACTGTTCGCGACTGCCAAAGGTGAGAAGAATTTCGCGATTTCGTCTGCGACGAGCGAGGAGCGATGCAAAGAGCTAGGGTGGTATGAGTGATGCGAAGATCGGTGCGAATGGTGCGATGTATGTCGTGAACGACTTTGAAGTCGGTTCTGCAAATCTGCGAAGCAAGCTTGCATCGCCGCTTCCATCGCGGCTATATTTGTCACCAAGTTAGCTTGCATCTCCTTGGTCTTTCGATTCAGATTTTTAATTCTTTCTTCCATCTGTGGCGTCATGTAGAAATCCTCCTCCATGGTTCAGATGATTCAGGTTCTCTTTCTCCCGGAAGTAACCGCTCTGATACCAATGATAGAGACCTCCAGAAATTCCAGAACAATTACAGAAAATTAACAAGAAATCAACTGAAAATTTATTGATGAAAGTGATCGATTACAGGAGAAGACACTGGCCGAAGCCCCCAAAGCCGAAGCCCCAAAAGATAGAGATGTTTAGTCTCCGATCTTTCCCAGTCCCAAGACTAATCGTCTAAAAGCCTTCCTTTCTAAATCCCCCTTCCAGTCTATTTATACTATACAATACCTCAAGTACCCTTATTACTAATATTCTTATTAATACTTCTATTATTAGTCTAATATAAGAGGGTTCCTATCAGCTTTATGCTTATTATCGTGATTTTGTGTTTATTCTTGTAGGCATGATAAATCTGGGAATGAACAGTTTCTAACTGAAATTAGCAAGTGGGTCTTCCATGAAAGAGGGCAT